CATGCAGACAGAACGCTCCAATATGACATTTATGTCATTTGTGGACGATGCAATTACAGCATGCCAGGCAGTCAGAACGCTCCAATATGACATTTATGTCATGTGTGGACGATGCAGGGGACAACATGCCGGGCAGACAGAACGCTCCAATATGACATTTATGTCGTGTGTGGACGATGCAGGGACAACATGCCGGGCAGACAGAACGCTCCAATATGACATTTATGTCATGTGTGGACGATGGAATTACAACATTCCAGGCTGACAGAACGCTCCAATATGACATTTATGTCGTGTGTGGACGATGCAGGGACAACATGCCGGGCAGACAGAACGCTCCAATATGACATTTATGTCGTGTGTGGACGATGCAGGGACAACATGCCGGGCAGACAGAACGCTCTAATATGACATTTATGTCATTTGTGGACGATGCAGGGACAACATGCCAGTGAGAGACAGAACGCTCCAATATGACATGTATGTCATGTGTGGACGATGGAATTACAAAAAGCCAGGCAGAGAGAACGCTCCAATATGATATTTATGTCATGTGTGGACGATGCAGGGACAACATGCCGGGCAGACAGAACGCTCCAATATGACATTTATGTGATGTGTGGACGATGGAGGGACAACATGCCGGGCAGACAGAACACTCCAATATGACATTTATGTCGTCTGAGGACGAGGCAGGGACAACATGCCGGGCAGACAGAACGCTCAATATAACATTTATGTCGTGTGTGGACGATGGCAGGGACAACATGCCAGGCAGACAGAACGTTCCAATATGACATTTATGTCATGTGTGGACGATGCAGGGACAACATGCCAGGCAGACAGAACGCTCCAATATGACATTTATGTCGTGTGTGGACGATGCAGGGACAACATGCCGGGCAGACAGAACGCTCCAATATGACATTTATGTCGTGTGTGGACGATGCAGGGACAACATGCCGGGCAGACAGAACGCTCCAATATGACATTTATGTCATGTGTGGACGATGCAGGGACAACATGCCGGGCAGACAGAACGCTCCAATATGACATTTATGTCATGTGTGGACGATGGAATTACAAGATGCCAGGCAGACAGAACGCTCCAATATGACATTTATGTCATGTGTGGACGATGCAGGGACAACATGCCGGGCAGACAGAACGCTCCAATATGACATTTATGTCGCGTGTGGACGATGCAGGGACAACATGCCAGGCAGACAGAACGCTCCAATATGACATTTATGTCGTGTGTGGACGATGCAGGGACAACATGCCGGGCAGACAGAACGCTCTAATATGACATTTATGTCGTGTGTGGACGATGCAGGGACAACATGCCGGGCAGACAGAACGCTCCAATATGACATTTATGTCGTGTGTGGACGATTGAATTACAACATGCCAGGCAGACAGAACGCTCCAATATGACATTTATGTCGTGTGGACGATGGAATTACAACATGCCGGGCAGACAGAACGCTCCAATATGACATTTATGTCGTGTCGTGACGATGCAATTACAACATGCCGGGCAGACAGAACGCTCCAATATGACATTTATGTCATGTGTGGACGATGCAGGGACAACATGCCGGGCAGACAGAACGCTCCAATATGACATTTATGTCGTGTGTGGACGATGCAGGGACAACATGCCGGGCAGACAGAACGCTCCAATATGACATTTATGTCGTGTGTGGACGATGCAGGGACCACATGCCGGGCAGACAGAACGCTCCAATATGACATTTATGTCGTGTGTGGAAGATGCAGGGACAACATGCCGGGCAGACAGAACGCTCCAATATGACATTTATGTCATGTGTGGACGATTGAATTACAACATGCCAGGCAGACAGAACGCTCCAATATGACATTCATGTCATGTGTGGTCGATGGAATTACAGCATGCCAGGCAGTCAGAACGCTCCAATATGACTTTTATGTCGTGTGTGGACGATGCAATTACAACATGCCGGACAGACAGAACGCTCCAATATGACATTTATGTCGTGTGTGGACGATGCAGGGACAACATGCCGGGCAGACAGAACGCTCCAATATGACATTTATGTCGTGTGTGGACGATGCAGGGACAACATGCCGGGCAGACAGAACGCTCCAATATGACATTTATGTCGTGTGGACGATGCAGGGACAACATGCCGGGCAGACAGAACGCTCCAATATGACATTTATGTCGTGTGTGGACGATGTAGGGACAACATGCCGGGCAGACAGAACGCTCCAATATGACATTTATGTCATGTGTGGACGATGGAATTACAACATGCCATGCAGACAGAACGCTCCAATATGACATTTATGTGATGTGTGGACGATGCAGGGACAAAATGCCAGGCAGACAGAACGCTCCAATATGATATTTATGTCATGTGTGGACGATGCAGGGACAACATGCCGGGCAGACAGAACGCTCCAATATGACATTTATGTGATGTGTGGACGATGGAGGGACAACATGCCGGGCAGACAGAACGCTCCAATATAACATTTATGTCGTATATGGACGATGCAGGGACAACGTGCCAGGCAGACAGAACGTTCCAATATGACATTTACGTCGTGTGTGGACGAGGCAGGGACAACATGTCGGGCAGACAGAACGCTCCAATATGACATTTATGTCGTGTGTGGACGATGCAGGGACAACATGCAGGGCAGACAGAACGCTCCAATATGACATTTATGTCGTGTGTGGACGATGCAGGGACAACATGCCGGGCAGACAGAACGCTCCAATATGACATTTATGTCGTATATGGACGATGCAGGGACAACATGCCGGGCAGACAGAACGCTCCAATATGACATTTATGTCATGTGTGGACGATTGAATTACTGCATGCCAGGCAGACAGAACGCTTCAATATGACATTTATGTCATGTGTGGACGATGAAATTACAACATGCCGGGCAGACAGAACGCTCCAATATGACATTTATGCCGTGTGTGGGCGATGCAGGGACAACATGTCGGGCAGACAGACGGCTCCAATATCACATTTATGTCATGTGTGGACGATGGAGGGACAACATGCCGGGCAGACAGAACGCTCCATTATGACATGGATGTCATGTGTGGACGATGCAGGGACAACATGCCGGGCAGACAGAACGCTCCAATATGACATGCATGTCGTGTGTGGACGATGCAGGGACAACATGCCGGGCAGACAGAACGCTCCAATATGACATTTATGTCATGTGTGGACGATGCAGGGACAACATGCCAGGCAGAAAGAACGCTCCAATATGACATGTGTGTCGTGTGTGGACGATGCAGGGACAACATGCCGGGCAGACAGAACGCTCCAATATGACATTTATGTCGTGTGTGGACGATGCAGGGACAACATGCCGGGCAGACAGAACGCTCCAATATGACATGGATGTCGTCTGTGGACGATGCAGGGACAACATGCCGGGCAGACAGAACGCTCCAATGTAACATTTATGTCATGTGTGGACGATGGAATTACAACATGCCAGGCAGACAGAACGCTCCAATATGACATTTATGTGATGTGTTGACGATGGAATAACAACATGCCAGGCAGACAGAACGCTCCAATATGACATTTATGTCATGTGTGGACGATGGAGGGACAACATGCCAGGCAGAAAGAACGTTCGAATATGACATTTATGTCATGTGTGGACGATGCAGGGACAACATGCCGGGCAGACAGAACGCTCCAATATGACATGTATGTCGTCTGTGGACGATGCAGGGACAACATGCCGGGCAGACAGAACGCTCCAATATGACATTTATGTCGTGTGTGGACGATGGAGGGACAACATGCCAGGCAGAAAGAACGCTCCAATATGACATGTGTGTCGTGTGTGGACGATGCAGGGACAACATGCCGGGCAGACAGAACGCTCCAATATGACATTTATGTCGTGTGTGGACGATGCAGGGACAACATGCCGGGCAGACAGAACGCTCCAATATGACATGGATGTCATGTGTGGACGATGCAGGGACAACATGCCGGGCAGACAGAACGCTCCAATATGACATGCATGTCGTGTGTGGACGATGCAGGGACAACATGCCGGGCAGACAGAACGCTCCAATATGACATGTATGTCGTCTGTGGACGATGCAGGGACAACATGCCGGGCAGACAGAACGCTCCAATGTAACATTTATGTCATGTGTGGACGATGGAATTACAACATGCCGGGCAGACAGAACGCTCCAATATGACATTTATGTGATGTGTGGACGATGGAATAACAACATGCCAGGCAGACAGAACGCTCCAATATGACATTTATGTCATGTGTGGACGATGCAGGGACAACATGCCAGGCAGAAAGAACGTTCCAATATGACATTTATGTCATGTGTGGACGATGCAGGGACAACATGCCGGGCAGACAGAACGCTCCAATATGACATGTATGTCGTCTGTGGACGATGCAGGGACAACATGCCGGGCAGACAGTACGCTCCAATATGACATTTATGTCGTGTGTGGACGATGGAGGGACAACATGCCGGGCAAACAGAACGCTCCAATATGACATGGATGTCATGTGTGGACGATGCAGGGACAACATGCCGGGCAGACAGAACGCTCCAATATGACATTTATGTCGTGTGTGGACGATGGAGGGACAACATGCCGGGCAGACAGAACGCTCCAATATGACATGTATGTCGTGTGTGGACGATGCAGGGACAACATGCCGGGCAGACAGAACGCTCCAATATGACATTTATGTCGTGTGTGGACGATGGAATTACAACATGCCGGGCAGACAGAACGCTCCAATATGACATTTATGTCATGTGTGGACGATGGAATTACAACATGCCGGGCAGTCAGAACGCTCCAATATGACATTTATGTCATGTGTGGACGATGGAATTACAACATGCCAGGCAGACAGAATACTCAAGAATATCTCTGAAGGCATCCACGAGCCATTTTTAGAAAACCTTCGACGCAGAGTAGGCAAATACACTTTATTCATTTAAAAAAGAACGCATTCATGGTAAAATCAATATGTGTGAACTGTATGTGGATCTCAATAAAGACATGAAACTAACATGATAACATCCTTTAGACGTGTATTTAACATTATATGCTCCTTGATGGTGTACGCTGAAGAAGTAGCCCTAGGCGCTGATACAGACAAAGAGGTTGTTATCCCTATAGTGTCATGTCCACATGTCCTTTCAGGGGAGGTTGGGTGGCCTAGAGGTTACAGCGTTCGCTCGTCACGCCGAAGACCCAGATTCAATTCCCCACAATGTGTGAAGCCCATTTCTGGTGTCCGTAATTTGCTGAAAAATTGCTAAACTGAACTCACTCATTCACTCACTCACTCATGCCTTTCATCTTTTAAGTACTACTTAGGAAAGACCAGTAAAGTAAACATGTCGGGTGCTGGTGTTAGACAGGTGTGTAAAATGTCATCATACATTTAATGTTGCACATTCATGAACATGATAAAGGTATTCTATATAAGATATTATATACATATACCATTTGAGTCACTTGAAGTAGAAGTTGATGGTAAAATACAAACGTTATTATTATGGTGCTCTGACATAAAGGAACCCCCATACGATCGACAACCTACCTGTCTAATCAGATGAGTGTTCTGTGATTATAAACTTTTAATTGACCGATTTCAAATACTATACCCTTCCCTCGTCGCTATAGTGTCAAAAACGGCGGATGCAGCGCAATTTCTTGAACTGAATTATATCATAATGTTTGTTTGCTTGTCCCCATGTGTTTCATATGAAATAGACATGTCCGTTTACGAAGACATTAAAACAAGGGTTAATAATTCCTACGGAGGTTTAGACATACACACGCATATATAGTGATATAAGCTGCCCTCTTCTCTTCACTTTAGTCTTGATCGAAGGTTGGATTGTCGCGCTGCACCGTTGTGTCATAGGAGTGGTCCAGCTGATAGAATCTTTTGCCTGTGTTCCTGGAAATAGGAACATCATAGTCACCATCAATTGTCTTCATAATACAAGTGGACCCGTGAAGATCTGGGTTAGAATTGAACTTCAGCAACCCATGCTGGGATGTAAGTGGCGACTAACGGGATCGGGTGGTCAGGCTCGCTGACTTGCTTGACAAATGTCATCGTATCCCAGTTGTGTAGATCGATTGCTCATGATGTTTGAATGTCTGGTCGATTATTTCCAGAATGTCGCCACATAGCTGGAATATTGCTGAGTGCGGCGTTAAACAACAAACAAACAAATATACAAGTATTGCAAGTGAGTTACTTTGTTATGGATAGCGTTGCCTAGTGTCCTTATGATACCGTATCACTCAGGTCTGGTGGCACCATGACCGTGTTGTCTGGTTACCATGGAAGTGGTAAAGAACAGCTACCTTTCACACTGGCATCCCTCTCAAAAGAATCAAAACACTTTTATGATAAAAGCGACAAAAGCCTTTCAACATCCACAAGAAATATCTGCCAAAAGCAGAGTCAATTGTAGAATAGTGACTACATCATGAGTATATATTTGTTTCAGCAGTATTACAGCCGTACGATGTTGTTTGTAAACAAATCGAGTCTGGACCAGACAATCCAGTTATTGTCACCATGCGATACGATGACAGAGATGATGATTTTGTTTCATTAAAACTACGGTTCTCTGGCTCACCTAAGCTCGACTTTATTGATCATGTCCCAGCTGCATAGATCGATGCTGGTGACAATCACTGGATTGTCTGGTCCAGACGAGATTATTGACAACCAACCTTCATATGGCTGATATATTGCTGAGTGCGGCGTTAAACAATAGAGATCCAGTCTGGTGAGTTTCAAATGAGGTAATCGCCAACATGGTGAAAACGAGAAGTCGAGAAACTTTAGAAGGCTTTATCGGCCTAAAATATGCTTAAATGTAGGGCAACTGTGTTAATCCGCGAAGCATGGGAAACAATCACAACAGTTAACCAAGGCCAAACAAGGCTCCTTTTGGATGCACTTGTGCAGCGAGTTATAGTGCAAGTAAACTCAACATGGCAACTTTGCAGATGTTCATACTTTAGGACAGACTAATGACTGATCAAAATTCAATTTGGAAAATGGAAATAGGGAAACAAACAGAGGAGGATAAATGACAGGCGAAGTCGTATCCCAAACATATCTTCATGCCACGAGTTCAGAAAACCAAGTGTGTTTATTGTGTATTCTCTGATGCAGACTCGATTGTTTGAAGATGGCGTCGTATAGCTGTAACGCTGATGAATGCCTCGTTAAACAAACACGTACTCTTGATATAGTCAAACTGGTCATACCCCAATTTGCCGGACAGCTGATGTGATGATTAACAGTAACGGTCCGCTAGTTTGCCGATTATAGTCTGTTTTTAGGGAGTAGTTGTGACCCATAGTTTCTTTTGGGGGACTTGAGCGTTTGGCAGACTGCGTGCGAGCTCATTAATTAAGACACCAATTTATTTTGAGTGAACTCGATTTTTAGTAACTAACTTGAGTGAACTCGAATTATATTATCTAAATTGAGTGGATGATTATTCTTGTCATTGTGCCTGTATATAAAGAATGTAGACATGGTTCTCTCATTGCAAAATACCAAACGTCCAAATTCAAGGGAAGGTAGACAGTTACTCTATCTCGGTCAAAAGTTTAGGGTTAAGAGCACAAAAAGGGACCGAGTTCGTTGGAAATGTTGTAAGACAGTCTGTCCTGCAACCGCCAACACCGTCAGTGATGTTCTCAGCTGTTCCAGGAACATACACAACCATCATCAAGATCAATTTCAGCTTCACATTGACACCTTTCTTGTCACGTTGAAGACCAAAGTCCGGAGGGATTCCAAACCAGTTCAGGGTATTTACAATGAAGAAATAGACAGTAAGTTTAACATTCTGGACATGACCTAAATACCGTACCTTATACTTAAGATACTGAAATATACAATAGATTTTGTAAATGGAATATCAAGTCAGTGATATACCATATTTTATAATTTCATATTCTACATTTGTAATATATCTTATGTTTTTAGTTTCAGAACTCCGGAGAGATGTTCCCGAAGCAGTGCCAACAGTGCCCGCTTTCTACTGTACTCGTTCCAGCCTGTACCGAGCCGAGGAAATGCCAAACCTCCCCGACGTTTTCACCGAAACGGCTACTGTAGGATATTGGTCTGTAATGTGTCATGGTATTTCCCGGCTGTTAATTTAGTAATGTCCGGATGTTAATCACGGAAGTATGAGAGCGGAAGCTGTGCGTTTCGTCTGTTGTGAGATGGCGACCAGTGAACGATGTCAACCGATCTTGTCTCATGTTATTGTTGAGTAGTTCAGGATCGAAGGGTCTACGGACAAATACACAACAGCTACCAACACAGACTCCTGCTCCATGCTACTGCTACTGACCACAACAAGATCATGATATTTGCTACGGAAGAAAACCCTCGCCACCTTGCTGCTGCTGCTGTTTATTATTGTGATGGGACTTTTAGCATGTGTCCTTCTTTATTTGATCAAATCTATACTATAAATGTTTTTGTTGAGGGGGAAATGTTTCCTCTAGTGTATGGCCTGTTGCCTGATAAGTAACAAGGAACCTATGCAGATTTCTTTAGACTTCTCAAGCAGAAGGCAGCTGAGCACAACATCAATCTACGACCTTCAACGTTCTTCAGTGATTTTGAGAAAGGTGCGCTGAATGCAGCAAAGGAAGAGTTCCAGTGTGAGGTTAAGGGCTGTATGTTCCATTACAGAAAAGCCCTGTTGAGAATGCAAGAAAACTATGGACCGCAGGGTGCTTACAAAAATGATGACAACGTGCGTACATTTGTCAGGCGTGCATTAGCATTTCCTTTGGTTACACCCCAAAGGCATATAGGGATCTTGTCTCAGACCTGGTTGGTGTTCCTGTGTTGGAATAATTATGTATATTTATGAAAAAAAAATTATGTATATTTATTTATGTCTTCAGTTACCATTTTCTGAACATGAACGAAATATGTATATGTATTTATGAATTTACCATGAAGAGAAAATGTACCAAAACTGTTGGCACTGTGCACTTTGTTAGACCGAGACAGACAATAAGTTAATCCCCTATTGTTTAAGGGATAATCGCGCTTCAGTGAATTTTTATCTAGAACAAAAGCGTTCGGCAAAATTGGACAATCGACTCTGCTTTCGAAAGAGGAAAGGGTTTTGTCGTTCCTATTCCAATTAATTATATACTCACTTGGCAAAATCTTTAGCATCTTCAATAGTTTCGGGCAATGTGCGACGGCGAGTTTCGGGCAGCCAGAGAGCAAGAATCCCCGCCGTCAAAGCCAGAACGCCGAACACGATGAGGGGAAGGGCACTGCTGATGTCTCCGTCAACCAACACACCCTGTACACCAATATCATCTAAGGTTATATCCGTCTCCAGTATTTTGAGCCCGGCCGTTACACTATCGAGAGAAGATTTGCAAATACTCCTTCTGATATCATGACAATATACAGTGCACTTATAAAGGCTCCATATCATATCACGAGCATTGACTTACCAAGACTCCATGTGACGTCATCAATATATACAGGCGTCACGTGATATAATGAGCATATACGTTGACATAATCACGTTCCATGTCACAACGTGAGCATCTGAGTAAACTCTCAGAGGCTCCATGGGATGTCATGAGTAGACTGAGTGAGTGAGTTTAGTTTTACGCTGCATTTAGCAATATTCCAGCTATATGGTGGCGGTCTGTAAATAATCGAGTCTGGACCAGACAATCCACTGATCAACAGCATGAGCATCGATCTACGCAGTTGTGATACGATGGCATGTGTAAACCACCCAAGCCTGACCACCCGATCCCGTTAATCGTCTGACAAGTATGGGTCACTGAAGATCAGTTCTAACCCGGATCTTCACGGGTCGTATGTACAGTGAACTTATTAAGGTTCCAAATGATATCATGAACATATAAAGGCGATTTACTTAGACCCTGTATGATGTCATGAAAAGATACAACACAGTTTAGCTTCATCTCATCTGATGAGCAGAATAAACTGTGTAACAATAAATGTGATATTATCACAATATACAGTGGACTTATTATGGCGTTATATACTGAGGCGTCATAGGATATATGAGAATATACAGCAGACTTACTAAGGCTCCAAATGACATTATAAACATCTACAGTGGAATTATTATGGCTCGATACAGAACACTTACCAAGATTCTACACAATATCATGGGCACATACAGTTGACGTATAAAGCTTCATATGATATCATGGGCATACACAATATCCTTCCTTAGGTCCCAATGGGAACGGATATGTGCATATATTTCTATTATGGAGATTATGAAAATCCTGTTATTCTCACCAGGTCTGCAATGTAAGGGGCGATAATTAGACCGATACGCCCTGAAAGGGAGCTGACGCCAATTCCGGAGTTGCGCACAAGAGTTGGAAAAAGTTCAGCAGCAAAAACATAAATTATGGCGAAAGCTCCTGATATTCCAAATCTTCCAACCATGCAAAAGGTCACTGTGATCCATTCGTGCTCTGAAAAGGGACAAGAACACCAGAACGTACTTATACGGGATCTTCGGGACCTTCGTGACCTCGGGAACTATACTGTTACAAAATTAGGGACTATTCCATTTTGGGGTGATACTAACTGGGAACAAATGCAAGTTTTATGTACATGGATTTAGAAAATGATTTTTCCATTCTACGACTTTTGACTTTCGTGCAAACACGCACTTTGGTGCAAGCGTTTTTCATGTTGTGCACGTGAACATGTCGGGTACATTTCAGTGATTCAAATAGCAGCCTGAACATATTGCTTTAGACTCAGTTACCGAGTCTTCAAAAAACTCTCACTGAATAATTCGTTTTACACAAGGTAATAGGATAATATCTAGACTATAGTCTGTTTGGGTCAAAATGATACCGATGAATCACAATCTAACACCAACTCGGTTCATGATCACAAATTCATTTCAACGGAGAATGTAATGAAAACATTAGACCAACTCTGGAAAAAAAAGTTTCATAACCTTTCTCTCCAAAATAAAAAGTTACTTAACAAACTATCATCATTTTGTTTTGATTATCCGTGTAAAGTTTTACGAGGGTAAAGTAACAGTAAACTGATTGAGGAACAGCATCAGGGGCGGGGAGCACTTGCAACTTAAGGCTGTGATTCATCGGTATCATTTTGACCCAAACAGACTATAAACGTCGTGAAGGGCTACATGCAGTTGTTGGAAGTACTTGAGCACAATAGCACATTCTTGAGCACAATAGAACATTCTTGAGCACAATAGAACATTCTGGTGCCAGCTCTTAACGTGTCACAGTCAGTAGGAAGCAGATTACAATCACGATATCGACAGGCGCACAAGAACGTTTCATCAGAACGACTGTTTTTACGAAACCGTGGTCAAAGTGCCTCTCAAATTGGAGATGAACTTTACAGAGCTACGTGTGCTAGTGGACTTTTGATTCGTAATCGGCTACACAGATGGAACCTGCGTGACCGATGTCCGCGTGTTGTCCTACGGTTGATGGCACCGTCACATTACCGCAAAAAGTCGTTGGTATCAAATGCGGCTCCGCGGGACCAATCTTCTTATGGAAGTTAAGTTTTCGAATGAATCGAGGCTTGCCTTGGCGCAGGCGGGATAGACGTTTTCATGCCCTTAGCGTTAGACAGAACGGTCGTATTGGAGTGGCTGCGGCTAGCAGAACATCTTCACGTGTTTTTCACGGTGGTGTAGTGGTTAGCGTGCTGGCCTCTCACGCCAAAGGCCCGGGTTCAAATCCCGAAGGAGATACCAAAATTTGAGACCTTGGTCTCATACTGTGTTGTGTTCCTGGGCAAGGCACTTCGTCCACATTGCACTCAGTCCACCCAGCTGTTCAAAATGGGTACCTGAGAAGCGGATGTACGGACCTATACGGTCGCGCGAATCGCTTAGTAGCAGCTTTGAAAGTACAATTCCGTCAGGGTAATAATGTAACGCCAGAGGGCAGCATCGTGTTGGATTGTAGGCGCAAAAATTATTATTATTATTATTATTATTCACTGACGTGTCACTTGGCAGCACTACCGTGACAACATCCGTGCTGTTTGCGCATCAACGTCGACGTCGTTTTGTGTGTGCAAGGCTACACACTGGAATGTACTTCTTACACATATTCTGTCGAAACCTTCGGATGCGTGACAACTATCTATCTGTCAACATCTTTAAAATGGTCAGACATTATAACCATTATAAGATGGGAAAGGATGTGCAACTGACCTTGACCTCCATAGGTGACAGGGAAAATGGCACTAAGGCAGGCGATCCCTCCTATTAACATACTTCCACAGTGGAGAGGTTTCCTGCCCAGTCTGTCAAGCAGGAGCAGAACCATGACGTAGGCTACGGTTTCCATGATGTTGCCGATGGTGAAGTTGAGGAAGATGTCACCAACAAGGGTGCCAATGTTATGTATCAAGCCATAGAAGACAATGGTGACCACAAACCTGTTTAATTATATCAATGCTCGATATATTTCCCCTTTAACTAGCAATGGTCAGAATGGATATACGTCGCATTGTATTCCTTTTCCTAACACGCCTATATACTGTTAATCTTTTTCCTGCAATATTTTCCCGTAAAGCAGAAACATATACCAAAGGGCATTCATCTTGAGTGTCAGTTTTCTAAATTCAAATCATAACATTTGCAATTCTGGCTGAATATGTATTAGTCTGAAGAAGATCTACCTACAAAATTTCAGTATGCATTAGGGACCTACAAAATTTCAGTATGCATTCGGGCAAGGTTGCGAAAGTATTGTATACATTATGAAAAAGGACTAGGTTATGCGAAAGTTCGCTAATCCTTATCCTTATGTGTTGGAAATTTTACTGTCTTTGAGGATCATCGACTCGGTATTAAAACCAACCACCCTTGCATTTCTCAATCCTGTTATACTGACCAATTGAAGAAGATGATGAGACTTCTAAAAAGGAGCACTCGGGAGGTGAACATCTCTGTGACCTTGGCCTTGGGACCGGCATCCAGTGTATCCTTGTCAAATAGCTTCCGCGGAAGAGTCACACCGTTCACGTCTGCCGCTATCCTCAGGATTTTTTCTGCCTCCCTCTCACGGCCAACCGACAACAGCCATCTTGGAGACTCGGGAACAGCCCTAAATATTTTCAAAGCTGTTTCAATATAAATATCTAAAAGTAAAAAATGAGTAATAAACAGAATCGTATGGCGGTAGGTGTTTTTCTGTAAATAAGAGATTTAGATTCAGATGGGGCGTAGTAACGGCAAATATTTCATTATAAAGATACACGTCAACGGAGTAACTTTGTCATGCATGTTTGGTGTTTGTAATACCCTGGCATCACAGGTAAAGTAAAGGCAATATACTCACAAGTATCGAGACGATATACTCACCAGTACAAACCCAAGAAAACTACTATTGGGATGGTTATGGTGAGCTGCGGGTGAGGCTAAGACGATCTACTCATCAGTATAAACCCAAGAGAACTACTATAGGGATGGTTATGGTGAGCTGGGGGGTGAGGCTAAGACGATCTACTCACCAGTATAAACCCAAGAGAACTACTATAGGGATGGTTATGGTGAGCTGCGGGTGAGGCTAAGACGATCTACTCACCAGTATAAAGCCAAGAGAACTACTATAGGGATGGTTATGGTGAGCTGGGGGGTGAGGCTAAGACGATCTACTCACCAGTATAAAGCCAAGAGAACTACTACTATAGGGATGGTTATGGTGAGCTGGGGGGTGAGGCTAAGACAATCTACTCACCAGTATAAACCCAAGAGAACTACTATAGGGATGGTTATGGTGAGCTGTGGGTGAGGCTAAGACGATCTACTCATCAGTATAAACCCAAGAGAACTACTATAGGGATGGTTATGGTGAGCTGTGGGTGAGGCTAAGACGATCTACTCACCAGTATAAACCCAAGAGAACTACTATAGGGATGGTTATGGTGAGCTGTGGGTGAGGCTAAGACGATCTACTCATCAGTATAAACCCAAGAGAACTACTATAGGGATGGTTATGGTGAGCTGTGGGTGAGGCTAAGACGATCTACTCATCAGTATAAACCCAAGAGAACTACTATAGGGATGGTTATGGTGAGCTGCGGGTGAGGCTAAGACGATCTACTCATCAGTATAAACCCAAGAGAACTACTATAGGGATGGTTATGGTGAGCTGCGGGTGAGGCTAAGACGATCTACTCATCAGTATAAAGCCAAGAGAACTACTATAGGGATGGTTATGGTGAGCTGGGGGGGTGAGGCTAAGACGATCTACTCACCAGTATAAAGCCAAGAGAACTACTATAGGGATGGTTATGGTGAGCTGGGGTGAGGCTAAGACGATCTACTCACCAGTATAAACCCAAGAGAACTACTATAGGGATGGTTATGGTGAGCTGGGGGTGAGGCTAAGACGATCTACTCACCAGTATAAAGCCAAGAGAACTACTATAGGGATGGTTATGGTGAGCTGTGGGTGAGGCTAAGACGATCTACTCACCAGTAAAGCCAAGAGAGAACTACTATAGGGATGGTTATGGTGAGCTGGGGGGTGAGGCTAAGACGATCTACTCACCAGTATAAAGCCAAGAGAACTACTATAGGGATGGTTATGGTGAGCTGTGGGTGAGGCTAAGACGATCTACTCATCAGTATAAACCCAAGAGAACTACTATAGGGATGGTTATGGTGAGCTGCGGGTGAGGCTAAGACGATCTACTCATCAGTATAAACCCAAGAGAACTACTATAGGGATGGTTATGGTGAGCTGTGGGTGAGGCTAAGACAATCTACTCACCAGTATAAAGCCAAGAGAACTACTATAGGGATGGTTATGGTGAGCTGTGGGTGAGGCTAAGACAATCTACTCACCAGTATAAAGCCAAGAGAACTACTATAGGGGTGGTTATGGTGAGCTGTGGGTGAGGCTAAGACAATCTACTCACAAGCATAAAGCCAAGAGAACTACTATAGGGATGGTAATGGTGAGCTGTGGGTGAGGCTAAGACGATCTACTCACCAGTATAAACCCAAGAGAACTACTACAGGGATGGTTATGGTGAGCTGCAGGTGATGCCAGTCACGGATGAAGTAGGCAAGACATCCAACGAGGAACAGGCCAAAGCACCAGAAGAACTGGATGATAACACCAGCGTTGGTTCGTTTGGAGGGACCAACGATTTCCATAACTGGAAAGATAATATGCCGAGTTTTGGACCTTGACATGATCCATGCAAACTGTTGGTGCAGTCTGTGTTCCAAACCAAAATGTCTTACTGTAATACTTACGTTTCCATGTACACTTATTAATGCTTGTTAATCATATTCCAAACTGACAAAGAAAATTCAAAATGAATACTGCAATTTTGTTCACTATATTGACCAAATAAGACCATATTACAAAAGCTACCCAAGGAGTCTGATCTTGCTGGAATGGAATGCAAACTTACTATGAAGGTTAAACAAATTAATTTGATAAAATCATTGTACCTAGACTTTCAAACAAACGTTCTGAATTAGGTTTATCAGACATATGCATTAACAATAGACACCAGGTGTTTGCGGAGACAGTAAACATATTCTGCCCTACCGGTAGCACCGGCTATTCAGAAAATGTGCCTAAAATATTATGTATATTTTGCCTGACACTGCACAGCAGTACTGCTGCCTTGAAACAAACCAGATAATCAAGTGATCGATAAACCGGAAAATCCAGTTATATAAGTTTGAATTAACACTCTTGTGTAGAAATACAGGGATTCCGATGCATATAGAAAAGTAACACCCCTGGAAAAAAGACTTGTTTTACAATATACTGGTGATCAGTTTTAAAGTCTCCGACCGAACGATTCTTTTGTACTTCACTCAGCATATTTAAATATGGATTTGAGTTTATGCTGAATATCAGGGACTTTCAGTCCACCAGCAGAAACATCGACCCACTGGAAATAAATATTGAACGTCAACGCTAAAGAATACCCAGTCATGAATATCTTTAGACACAATTTCAGTTTGGTGTAAAGGGAAAAGAGCTGTGAAGATTACATGAAAGCATCGCTGAAACTCAGTAATGACACAGGTGTTTGCGAAAAGGGTAAGCATGTCCTGCCCTATTGTAGCACCAGCCATTCACATAAGTTCCAAGAGCAGTATTGTCCAATAAACTCACCATACACGAAGGGGGAAATGAAGAGTGCGATACTGGAGGCACCGTTGAAGAAGCTGATTATGACAAAAACCAGGTAGTTTGGGGAAAAAGCAATCCCTATTCCTGTGCCAAGGTAAAGCACCGCAGCTAGCAACACTGACTTCTTTCGACCGCACCTAGAACAAGTCACAAGAAATGGTTAATTTGCAGACGGGGATTTCAATCGAATTTCATTCATGTCTTCTAAGATCATTGTGTTTTCTGTTCAGAAACGATGTTCACCTTATATTTACATTAAGTCACAACATAATCTCAACAGAACATTACGAAAGGGTACAGGTGACGTCACACTGGACAATACGTACAGATCTGAAATGATGCCGAAGACTAATGAACCGAAGAGAAGTCCTGCAAACAGAATGCTGTTGGCCAGAGATCGGAGTGCCCTGGTGCCACACACCATGTTGAGCTGGAAATAAACTAGTTGCAGTTGGTATTGTACAGCAACTATGAGTATTGCACATGGTAGTCCTATTTTAGGGGCGGGTCCAGAAATTTGGAGAAGGGAGGTGCACATAAATAATTAAGTCCAAAGGTTAGGGGGAAATACTCCCAAGCGATTTTTTTTCGGGGGAGAGGGGGATGGGGACAATACGAAAAGATAAGTCCTCTTTTAGCAGCATTCTGCTATATTTCTGTCTTCATATTTCAGCATGGTTTGATTTGAAACAAACCATGCTGAACAAAGACACGTTGACGACAGAAATGAAGGTATCTACCTCCTCTTTCGAGGCATGCGATAGTGTTACATATGGGGAATTCTAAAGTCGAAACTAACATGCAAAAGTATGATTGTGCGATATGTCCAAACACACAGTCCGCTCACTCAAAGCTGTAGGAGATAAATATAGGTATGATCTCAAACTCAGATGTATGTGTTAAAATATGGCGCCTACAGGATACTTAGACAAATGCAGGCTACTACTTCTCAGACAACTGTGTACAAATATATGTCATTCAACCATATTTGCCTGAAACGTATCGTATGTTCATACTTGATTATGACAGGCACTGGGAGAAGTATATAAATATAAGAAAAACCCTGATGGATAAACTGGATCTTGAAAATTATGTACTTTTAGATGAGAATGTTGAGCTTGCACTCTTCTGAGGGTTCAACACAAACACTATCTGAAATGTAAAGCGAGACTACTTGGAAAAGTGTATCATTGTTATTCTGTAAGTATGTCCTTAAACTAAAATATGTATTAATAATAACAATAATAATACAGTGTATTTGTGACTGAGTGAGTGAGTGAGTTTAGTTTTACGCCGCACTCAGCAATATCCCAGCTATATGGCGGCGGTCTGTAAATAATCGAGTCTGGGCCAGACAATCCACTGATCAACAGCATGATCATCGATCTGCGCAATTGGGAACCGATGACATGTGTCAACCAAGTCAGCGAAACTGACCACCCGATCCCGTTAGTCGCCTCTTACGACAAGCATAGTCGCCTTTTATGGCAAGCACATGGGTTGCTGAAGACGTATTCTACCCCGGATCTTCACGGGTTTAGTGTATTTGTAGAGCGCTAGACTCCATGCACTAGTGTACGCTCAAAGCGCTGCAACTTCTGTTACAGTCTGATTATTCTTACCCCGGATAACCCAAGCTGCCTGTGAGGCTCTAGAAGGTTCTAGTCACATGACGGCATGGTGAACAGAGGCAATTTTGGACAAACTCACTTGCCTAATGTGAGACCACATGTATCCCATGTGTTTCGATGTGGGGCAGGACTAATATCCTAGAAACTCTCAGGAATCAAGCTGCCAAACATGTTCACCCACCCAAGGATTATCCGACCTCGACGCTGCTTAACTTCCACTTATTTGTGAACTGAGCTCTATGTACAGGACCACGCGCCACGTCGTATTAGACTACTCCCTCTTTTCATCTGCTGTGCAGCAGTAGCTGGCATGTGTGTACATAGGTGATATAAACTGTATACCTACACAGCTTGTATTACTAGGGTTCATAGTTATATTTATGTACATACAAGCATCATGTATTTGCTCTGAGTAACATCAGGGATACTGTAAATCGGGTGTAATATCTGGAGGAAATAAAGGAATTCACCCATTCATTCTACCTCTGTCGGGGCGGTCGGGTAGCTCAGTGGTCAAAGTGTTCGCCCGCATAAGAGTGCAACGTGTGAAGCCCGTGTCTGGTGTCCCCTGCCGTGAAATTGCAGGAATATTGCTGAAAGCGGGTTGATACCATACTGACTCACCCTACCTCTGTCACGACGGTGTTCTTGAAGACAGAGTCGTCGTACACCCAGGCGCTGCATTCCTGGGTTGTTCTGTTCTGACCTCCTGAAACATCGTCCTTGTAGATGAGACAGGAGTCCCTGACACTGACGCCCTTCTCCGTCTTCCAGGGTATGGAGGCGTTAAGGAGGAGCTCGTGGTCAGGTCCTTGGACAGCGTATGTGTCGTTGCTGACTCCGGGGAGAGCACATCTACAATACACAAAAGCAGATACATGGAAAGTAATTATATATGTGTGTGTTTCTCTGTGTGTGTATGTGTGTGTGTGTGTGAGAGAGAGAGAGTGTGAGTGAGAGAGAGAGAGAGGGGAGAGGGGAGACAGACAGACAGACAGACAGAGACGGATACAGAGACAAGATTGTGTGGGTGTAAACTGGAGATCCTACGGGAATTTTAATTCTTGAACAGGAGAATTGATATTTCTTTGCTGAAGAAATAGCCTTAAAAGCTAAGTTGGCTTCGAAAGCTTGTGACGCACAATATGATTTGATATAATCTCAACTTTCTGTATGGCTTCGATACAAATACGCCATTCATAGTCTGGCTGTCAATGGAGTCAACGTGGCGTGCCCAACACCTTGAATAGATACAAGATGAGGTTGCTGTTCCGGAAACTGCCCTCTCTAATCTAGACACACGTGTAGTCTCTGATATAATACTTCAAATGCTAAACAAAATGGCAGCTAGAGAATAACCGAGAATTACAAGCTGTGCCCTCGCTTGTGAATTCAAAAGATTTTGTACTGACATTGAAACTTCAGTAATCTAGGTTTGTGTTGGCTGCCGTGGGAGAATTAGATATATATTTAGGGGTTGTGTAACAGACTATCTCCACTCTCCAGACGTTAGATGCACATTTAGGTTGATACACAGCAAATGTACCCCTCAAAGTCTCGTCTCAGGAAATTATACGTGTGTACTTGTGATGTGTCTAGTTTTAGTCATGTACCCTGAATAGCGTTGCCAGTATATTTGGGATAATAAATATCCTGAATTAGGAATACAGATTGTACATATCCTGTAGGTTTTGTATTTAGCGAGCCTAACAAGGAACATTTAACTTCCCAAACACTCACGAATGCTAACATCTTTTACTACAATGTCATTCTTAGATTTTAACGAAAAATGCGTCGTGTTGTTTCTCACCAAAGCTTCTCAACACAGTAGGCCGAATAATCGATGAGTGCATCAATACATTAGCGATAACTAACTAAACAGGCAGTGATGAGTTAGTAAGACAATCACTAACGCTACGACAATGAAACTTGATTTATAAGTACCAAAAATGCCCATGTGGGGAATCGAACCCGGGCCTTCGGCTTGACGAGCGAACGCGTTAACCACCAGGCTACCCTATAGTCCGATTATTTTTGAATGATGAATGGTACAGATAAGTGACGTTCTAAATGTGGTTACAAGTCGTATTCTTTGGTAGCATGGTCTCACCTGTGTTTAGGGATGTTGTGGGTAAAGACAGTGCTCATCAGCTGCACTCCGCAGAATATAGCAGGTGTACACATAAACAGGTAGAGGCGTTTCTGATGAAGACCAAACGCTCCAAGGTAATCCTCAAGAATTTCATCAAACTTCATCGTGAGGGACTGCTGTGTCACTGTGATCTGGCTCCTACATTCCTACAGTATGAACGATTTAGGTGTGTTGTGTTGAATAGGCCACCATGCTCTACAAAGCACTGGGACGAAACTACACTTACGTTTATGGGTCAGAGAACATTGGGTGAACAGAAAGTGCTTGTACCACCACACGAAGGAGCAGTATTCTCCAAGTCTTAACCACGCTCAGAAGTAAACGTGTCATTCGAGGCCCCAAACCTGTGTTTAACAACGTTGAGGGTAATGACAGAGCTCATCAACTGGAATCCGCAGGTGTACACATTAGCAGGTAAATGTTATGAAGCCCCCAGGTGATCCTCAAGAATTTCGTCAAACTTCGTCGTGAGAGACTGTTCTATCACTGTGATGTGGCTCCTACATCCACACACAGTATGGACTGTCTTCGTTGACGATTGAGGTTATAATTTTGAATAAAAAAAAGCACTGGGACGAAAGTGCACCTGCGGATATGGGTCAGAGAACATTGGGTGAACAGAAAGTGCTTGTACCACCACACGAGTGAACAATATTTCCCAAACTACGCTAGTCATCCGAGGCCCAAATGAGCAAACTTGTACTATACGCATCATTTGACTGCCAAATTTGCATTTTGTTACGCAGATCATAAAATAAAAGTGCATTTGGATGACTATGGAGAAATAAGACAGAGGTGTGTAAATATGACAGAGGTGTGAAATATGACAGGTGTGTAAATGTGTTAGAGGTGTGTAAATATGACAGAGGTGTGTAAATATGTTGTATTTATAACGTGTAAAAAACTTTACATTTGTGACAGTGGTTTAACCTTTTTCATGCCAATGTTCCCATATGGGAACATGTCATAAAAGGCTTTGTAACTTTTTTATGCGTTAAATAAATTAATAATGTTTTAACCATATTGATCTTAAGATAATTGCCAACGTTCTAGCATATATTCTAAATCGTATTTTGATTTTATTTAAAAGAATTGACGAGGGTCTCAAAAGGCCCCAAAAACGTGTTTTCAACCGAAAACGGTCTATAAAAAATTGACAAATACAATTGCATTATTTTAGAACTTTCTTCACATCTCCTTATAAACAAATGATGCAGGTATATAATAGTAAAAGAAATTTTATCATTGTAGCAGGAATTAAGGTAAAAAAAACTTGAATGTTCCCATGGCAGGATTATTGTTAAAATCAAATTTTTTACATAAACTGCATTAATACAAAAGAAAAACAAGGAATGATCCGTTCAGTTCTTTATTTAAAATAATATAATAATTATTGTATAATTGCTTTGTACAGGAAATATAAGGAAAAGTAATTCAGAATAGCTTGTCAGAGACTTGCTTGAAGAGGTGTGTCTGACAGTCTTAAAATGAGGTTTGTCACAAGGAAGCGGTAGATCGTTCCACAGTAGGTGAGCTGAGGCAGAGAAGGCTCGATCACCCATTGATGATTTCATGATTGGGACTGATAGGCGTAGATGGTCGACAGAACGGAGAGTACGGGTTGGTTGGTATGTGCAGACGAGGCATCTGGCACGATGATTCATCATAGACACAGTTTTAGGCTAGACGAATTATCTTGAACTGAATCCTTAAATTCATTGACAGCCAGTGGAGGGCCTTCAGGATAGGTGTTATATGCTCTTTTCGCGGTATGCGCGTTACAACCCTTGCTGCTGCATTCTGGATTCGCTGTAACTTTGGGATCAGAGATAAAGGAATATGGAAGAAAAGGGAATTACAATAATACAGTCGTGATGTGACGAGGGTCATAGTCAAGAAGATAGCAGATTTTACCGATGTTGTGAATGTGGGCGATGCAAGTTTTGCTAAAGTTCTTGACATGATTTTCAAGGAACATGCTGGATTGAAATATTATTCCAAGATTTCTTGCAGATGGAGTGGTTCCGACTTTGCTGTTGCAAAGGTTATGTAAGAGACCTGCAGTCACTTTCAAAAGCTGCTGTTTAGAACCTAGAAATTCTGTTTTACTGTCATTTAATTTGAGAAAAAAATCATCCAGGATCTAACCACACCCACATAGACTTCAATTTGACTGATTCTAGAAGCGGTTTTAGATGGCTTTATAGATCTGTAGATCAGATTATCATCAGCATAGAGATGAAAGATCAAACCGTGTTTCCTGATTATATCACCTATTGGAAGGATATATCTGCTGAAAAGCAAAGGCTCTAGACCTGAACCCTGTGGAACACCAACGTTAACTGTTGGTGTAAGTAAGGTAACATCGCCAATCTTGACAACCTGAGTTGTGGCGGACAGATTGGATGAAGCAAGAAACAACCTTTCATGTAACACCGAGTCTTTCGTTCAAGCGAGAAAGCAGTATCGTATGATCTATGGTGTTGAGGCCTGATGATAAATCATTACGATCTGCTGGCCCATTGCCCTGATGACGTCGTTATGGACACGAACAAGTCCAGACTCTGTGCCATGTTTGGATTTATAAGCACTCTGGAAGGCTTCAAGGTTATTGTTATTGAATAGGTGTCCTTCAAGCCTTCGGGAAACAATTGCCTCAAAACATTTTTAAATGAAAGACTGGCCGGTAGTTGTTTTAAGTCAACCAGATTTACATTGGCCTTTTTAATGAGATGAGTGACGACTGCCAGTTTGAAAACTTTGGGAACCGTGGCATCCCCCCAATGAGCTGTTGACCACATTGGATAATAGACTGATGAGAGAATCTAAGCTTGCTTTAAACAGCCATGTTGGTATGGCACCCAGACTAGAAGACGTTGCTTTAGCTTTGGATGTAACATATCTTATTTCTCCTGGATATTTTAAGGAGAGTTCACACAAATATGTACCATTGAAACAGGACTCTTTGAAAACCTGATTCTGCAGAGTATGTCTAATGTCAAGTTCTTGACATATATGCCATATCTTGGCGTGGACAAAATATGCAAATCGGTTGGCTTGAGATAAATTGTTGGTTCTGGAATTGTTCTGGAAGAGTGCAATTTGTATCCCACGTCCAGAGACTGTTCAACAAGGAATATAATTCCTTGAAATTACTGCAGTTGCGTTCTATCGAGGCGCATGCAAATGCTCATTTGGCTGCTGCTAAACCTTTATTAAAGGTCACATGCAACGTAAAACACAACTTTGCAGATTCTGATACCTTTCAGTATGGACTTACCGAAACAAAGCGTCAAAAAATGCAAATTCAACTTATAAAGTTGAAAAATAACGCGATGAAAAAAAAACGCGCGAAATCGGAGTTCAAACGTTTCACTAATTTTCCCCATACTTTTCTGGGGAATACGGGTTTCAACAGCTGGCTGCGCTCACAGCACGTGCGCAGTGAAATAGGTTCGCGCAACTTGGAAGCGGGCTGTCTGGTGAATACTCTGTGAAGGCTTTGGTGTGAGCTAGTTTCCTAATGTTTTGTTGATATCTCACAGGCGCGAGCTTTTTGTATGTTATGACAGTAAATAAACTGTTTATATAATTTCATTTGTCTATTTCACCACACGTTCTTCTTACCGAGTCACTTTCTCAGTTCGATACTTAAAAGCATTATTTACAGTTGACACGATTTCTAACTGTGATATAGATATGTCGTTGTCACAGACAAAACTCAATGTCTTGTTTTATTGACACCTGTGTGTCTGCCTGCCTGTCTGCTAATGACAATATTCAATACACAACTGCGATCACTGACCACATGCAATTTAAACTTAACACCAATCAGGCTATACACCATAAACAAAACGCATTGATTTATGGCCCGAGTTCGGTCTCTGTCACATTATGTAATTACACAGACAGGCAGGTGTGATACTTGAACACATGACATGTTATGATGTCTGATGATTGCAAAATGTTATACACAAAAAAATGAGCATGTATTTACAAAACCCAACATCTCTATATATACACACACAATGACCCGTGAAGGCGGCATCTGCTAATGAACCAGCCGTAACACTTGAGTGCACACCCACCCGCTCTGACTGGGTTCGGTATCCCGGCTGCTTCGTTTCGAGGGACGTAAACCCAAGTACAAAATATTGCACTTTTGATTTGCGATTATACGCTTATAATTTTGTTTATATGTTTTTTCATAATCAGCAATGCATATTATATGTCATGAATAAGTGATAATTGCGTTTTAATTATGTTTGATTTTTTTGGTTGCATGTGACCTTTAACATTATTCCTGGTGGCTTTGAAGAGCTGGCGATGAATATATGATTTTGAACAACGCCATTGTTTTCAAGCTGCACGGCATATCTGTTTCTGCCCGCAGATGTCATCGTTACACCAGCCACAGTGAGGACGAATGGCAACAGAACTATACATCAGAAGAGCATTCTTATCCAATATTCGTGATAAGCAAGAAGTAAACACATCAATCTAATCATCAACTCCACAAGATCGGAGAGTGACTGAAGCAGTTTAGAAGATCCATTGTCAACTGCCTAAAATCTATATTTTGAGTCTTCCTGTAGCTAATTTCTTTTCTCACTTGCTTAGGTTTAGTAAGTTTGACAGAGCACTGAAGAAGTGAATGATCAGATATCTGATTGCCAGTAACACCAACAACATCCAGAATATCACAACTATCTTTGGTTAGGACTAGGTCTAGTGTATGACCTGATCGATGAGTTGGACTAGACACGTGCTGTAGGAAATTGAAAGACACAAAGAATCGACATGGATACTGAAATCCTCCCAATAGAACCAGATGACCTAGTTCAAGGGCAATTTTGACAAGGCTGGGCTAACATTCAGAAACACTTACCACATGATTTTATAATTAGTCGCTGAAATTTTGCGAAGAAAACCTATTCCAGCTGCGTTAGTGGAGGTAGCAATCAATACCAATCTACTGCAAGTTATCTACCACCTCATCATCGTAATTTATGTGATTGTCTAACAAACATTTCATTATCTAGCTCTCGGAATATTCCTGTATCATCGATTTATGTGTTAAAGAAATTTATTCTCTAACTTTCAAGAAATAAAACATGTGTTGCAAAAATATAATTTTGTTTCATTTTTCTCGATGACCCTACCAATGTTCCCATCTGGGAACATACCGGTATCTCTGGAACCGTTTGTGATATCACTATGACATTTGGGAATTTTCTTAGTTACACCATTATGAGATTGTGTAATTGACAATTGGATCTAGTACCGGTATGATGAAGTGTAAATAAATCTGGAATAGGCATGACTTATTGACATATTGACCGATTTAGCACTCATTTCAATGGTTCGGTAACATAACTACCAACTGTCTCCCGTCAGCGTGAAGCAACCACGCCAGTGACGTAATGAGGCAATTAGTAACATATGGCGCGAGGATCCACTTGACCACAGATATTTCAAGCTTCCTGTGTAGGCTGAG